CGCATTAACTCTGGGTAAGCAATAGGAGGTTGATTGAACTTACTCTTCTCAGGTGTTTTGGAACCGACATACTCATGGTATGCGGGTTTGGGGTATATCAATCCAGGGGTTATGATTTTCCAAATGGTAAGTTAACCAAGCTTTCTGGAATACCCCCCAGGAGCACTACGCTTCAAAGGTCATGACACTTGGATTCTTATCTGATTCTTATGTGAATCGTACCAATTAATAAAGCTGAGCATTTAACAGCAGGAGCTGAAGTTAAGTGCATTTCTCACAACCACCCATCCATTTTTTGTACCTACATATTCTATTAGGGCAGGGGTCTCAAACTCCAGTCCTGGGGGGCCGGAGCCCTGTGTAGCTTAGTTCTTTCCCTGTTCCACCACAAATGATTCAGCTCAAGAGCTGTGTGGTAATTAGCACAAGGAGTTGAATCATGTGTGTTAAATGAGGGTGAACCAAAAACTGTGTAGGGCTCCGGCCCCCCAGGACTGGAGTTTGAGACCCCTGTATTAGGGCTTATGGACCCCATGGACACAAGGCAGGGAATAGCCCCGTGACATAGCGGGGGGCAGCTAATTCAGCGCCTGGGGAGCAGTGCTTGGGGGCGGTACCCTGCTCAGGGCACCTCAGTGGTGCTTTGTTGGTCCGGGATTTGAACCTGCAATCTTTCAATCACAAGTGCGCGTCCCTAACCATTAAGACACCACTGCCCAGGAAAAAAAAAAATCAGGGGAGAGTGGAAACACAGCCCCCCCGCTACCAGAAATTATGCAGCGGAGGGGTCAGCACAGCCGCAGCAATGGCTGGGCCTCACCCTGGGTGAAGCACCTCCGTGATCATGGTACCTGCCCTGCCAGGTAAGTATTAGCAACTTCAATTTACCTCAACATATTTTTGGAGCGTCAAGGGAAAGCAGAGTACCAAGAGGAAATCCCATGACATCATGGGGAAAACATGCAAACTCCACACACATAGACGCATGGCAGAGACCTGAAGCCCAGCCCCAGAGGGGTGAGACAATGGTGCTAACCACTGCACCACCACTCAGTCCTTCAACAGAGCCCCCAACAAAGCACCACAATTTGAAATGGAAATGTTCTATCAATAACATCTCTTGCTATTGTGCTTTATATACCTTTAACTTATCACTTTAAAAAATCAAGCTTAATCAAGCCTTTGCAAAAACGCAAATTTCCATGTATATATTTTTATCAGCTATAAGAACATGACAAAAATGAAGTTTTATTTTAGATACCTTTTCAAATGCAGGCAATAAACGTGCGTTTTTGAATGCTGCGTGCAATCAGCACTTGCACACGTGCAGTGGGTGTTAAAAACCACTGCCAAGCAATGGATTCAAAAGATCGCAGTGATAACCAGTCTTAGAGCCTGTTTAGGGGGGCTCCCACCCCTTGTCTTTCGTCTCAGTTCCCCTCAAAATGTTAATTAGTATTTCCCAGATATCTTCTGCGCAGGAATTGTGAAGTGGCTGCACAGCAGTAAACAGCCAACCAGCTCTCCTTTGATCTTTGATTTATGGGTTTGAACTGAACCAGATTCTGCTTCAAAGGTTTGTAGAATCTTAACTCGGAAGTACAGAGAAGGAAATGGGTGCAGTGCTTTTGGTGAGACTGTAGCTTTGTGGTTTTATCATGTCACATGTCAGCTCTATGGGTATTATGCCTTACATATGTCACATTCTGATTGGTGACTGAGCGCCCCTAAGGATCAAATCCTAGAACCGCCCCTGGCAAAAACTAATTTTAACCCGAATAGTACGTGTCTATACTGAGTGTAGGTATTTGTGAATTCTTCAATGCATTCGTGATTTTAGCTAGGACATTACCAAAGAAGCAGGTAATGTGAATGACTTTGGATGTGGATTGACTTGGTATAAAATGTGTAAAATTTGCTTTGAAATAAGAGACTTTGCATGGCTTTATAGTGACAAATTAGTTGCTAAGCCTAACCGAAAATACCTACAAATCCTGTAAATTCCACAATATATTGAGAAGACTATGCTGCAGTTACATGAATCAACCAGTAGAGGGACCAGCATATTTTTTCAAAACATCTGCATCTAGCTTGCGGAACTGATTTTGGTTCATTCAGCCTGTAATTGCAAGTATATAAATAAAATCATTACAAAAATATTAATTTACAGGCTTCTTTCACACGCAGCTTCTTATATATATATATATATATATATATATACACACACACACACACACACATATATATCCTCCTGAGACCCCACCCATTCATTTACGTCCATTGTAGTGGACATTTTATTTTTGCATCTATCTTTTCACTGATGTAAGAAAACATATTTATTCCTGTTGTACACTAAAGAGGACATGCTGTCAAATTAAAAATTCAAATAATTTTGAAAAAATCTAAATTGTAAGATGTCTTATTTCCTCCAAAGACAAATAACCTAAAATTGAAGGACACTTTTTTTACTTTTATCCTACAAGAGACAAAGGAACACAGGAAAAGTGTGTGAATGGGTTTCAGAAGTTTGTGGCAAGACTAAAGTAGGTAAAAGGAGCCTAAATCCAGACTTAAAACTTACTGAGACATCAAGGCAAGACCTGAAACAAGCAGTACATAAAACAGTAAACCTCAGAAAAGAAGGAGCTCTACATGGAGGAGGAGGCCAACATGCATCCATCTCGCTGAGACCAATAAACAGAGGTGGAAAGTTCGGGTCAGAAAGTAAAAATCCAGACCAATATTTTGTTTCAACCAACCGGTTGAGTTCTCTTTGACTGTGACTCTTCATACTCAGCTGATTGGTTGAAACAAAGTCCACCTCTGCTGATAAATTTGGGACGTGTTTTGGTTGTTGCTCTTGCCCCAGATTTGTCGTTGAGTATATATGGGGCAGATCGCAAGCCAAAGTCAAAGGGCCTCGAGGAATCCTAGAGCCTTGTAACTCTACATTTTGAATATTATTTTTAGATTTGATTATCTCAAAGTATTTCAAATTACTAATAATGTAATTAAAGAGTCATTAGGGATACTGATCAACAGGCGGGTAATGGAGGGAGAACAGGAAGTAAAATTCGGTTTGTTTGGGTATCTGTTTTTGCAGAAGCTCCAGAGCACCACAAACGATCTTCTGGGTCTGTCCAGAAGAGGACACTGGGAAGGCAGCAGGTCACATGGCTCAGGTAAAGGTCAGGTGGACGTGGGATACAGCATAGGAAATAGACTGCATGCCTATCAAATGGTGGGTCATAACTGTTTGACTGGTGTGGACTTCAGAATGGGGGCTTCAGGGAGTTTGCTGTCATGCTCCTGAAGTTCTTATGGTTTTCATTGTGGTGTCATGCCTTATTGACGCCAAGGAGCATCAAAGGAAACCGTTCTTCAACCTAAAACAAAGGAAGTAATTCTGCCAATAACTTTTCCTGTCGCTCTAAATACAGACGGACTCCATTCATAAAGATGAGACTGGCAGACAAGTGGGAAGCAAGCTGGAGGTGCTGAGAACCTGAAAAACCAGACAGCGTGTTCAGCCCCCTTTAGTTTTAGCATTACACACACATGTGTAGGTATGTGTGTGTAATGGGCCTGTATGGGCAAAAGCCCAGGGCCGATTTAATCTCAGTCCAGCCCTGCTCCCAGCTGCTTTTGTTGAACCAGTATCCACTCCTTTCTCCATATAAAATCCACAATTGTTCCTCCCATCTCCAGTTCCTATTTCCCAGTTCACAGCCCAGCCTGGGGTAAGTCTTCCAGGTAACAATTAAAAGGATTAGTCAGGACAATACAATTCCAGGTGATGTTACTGCAGCTCAGGGGGGTGGGTCTTAACTTGTTGGATTTAAGGTAATTTGGGCTAAATATACTTTATCTTCGTTCACTTACATTCAGCAGAGACTGTCTTAAATCCAACAAGTTATCTGGCTAAGCAAGAAATCCTGCTTTGTGGACCCACCCCCCAGATGATTAAATTTAGTCTCAAAAGCCCAGATGAATGTACATACATGTGTTTGCTTACGCTCAGGACAGCAAAACTCATATAAAATTTTTATTCTGTTCCTTTTCATTCTACACTGTTGCCATTGTTACAGCTGATACGTTTCACATAAAAATATATTTAAAAAAAAAAATTCCTAAAAATAAATTAGATTAAAACCACACACAAAACAGGCCGTAGTGGAGTTATTAGTAGAGTTTCCATGTACATCACAAATGAAAAAAGGCTTTTATGTGTATACAGCACAATAGAAACATAAGGTGCCAATATAATGTGTCCGGTTTGTCTTCACTATGATGTGGCATGTTTTGTCCCCAAAGACTAAAGCGATGCTATTTGTCTCATTATCACCAAGTCTTTTGTGTGTTGATGACAGCACATGTATGCATGTCTAAGTTCTTTGAAACCAGCGAAAAAGATCAAATGTTTTAGGAGAATGAACTGCTACGACCCCCAAGGGGTTAGTTTGTAGGTAGTTGGAGGACTTGTCTAAGTGCAGTGCAGACAAATGTGTCACAGACCAATATGTCACAGAAGGTGCCCTGTGAGCTTAGGTTACGTCAAATGATATTTATGGAAGAAAGGGGCAGGGCAGAAATGTTTAGGGGGGCAAATTGAGAAAATGTTTTAAAAATACACATATACTCAAGAACACTGATTAACATAAAGAATAGGAAATTAACAAAGAGTGACCTATACCATCACAACTGATGCAAGCGTGTAAATAGGCTTCTCATCATCCAGACCACTTATAAATGAGTCCTAGATATCCATACAAATGTCACTACATACAGTTACAAGGATGGTTCATACAGTTAGTAACACCAGCAGTAGTAGTAATGTCAATATGTCTATGCAATCTTTTATAGTTCCAAGGAAACTTTCTCATCATTGAAATTCTCTGGTATTTTGCTTGGGGGTGATCACAGAATGGAGGCAGCTCATTGCAGAAAGACTTGTTTGTACTCAGTAGCAGATGTAACGGTATCACCGCCAAGTGAAACTCCGCACCGATCTCTCCAGGCAACAATTGGGTTGATCCAATATCCTCAGATTGCTAAATTATCCAACCGCGACTCTGACTGACAGTTTATACAAGGGAATGCAGCTTCATTGTTGTAGAAAAAATAATTTTTGGAAATTAAATAAATCTTTTGGAAGAGAGTTTAAAAAATTGAAATTCCTTCATATTACCTTAATGCCCTGATTTCTCTCTGAAATATTATTTTAAAAAATCCAAATATTTACTTCCCTCCTTTACCTGCTTGTACATTTTACACACATTCTATACATATACACTGATGTCATCAATATAATAATGGCATTATTGCAATAATCTTGAGATCACATCAGGGAATCTGCTTACATACTCACCAGAACCACAGACCTTAATAACATCCTTTTCCTAAAAGGGTTTCCCTGTGAATGTGACATCAAGTCCAGCACAATGATGTCACCTGGAAGGAGATGCCTTACCAGGTCACCTAATAAGCGGTCCCCTCCATGTTTTGGTACGTTCCACTGGCACATGTCAAAAGGTCTACGCACATACTCGCACAGGCACACACAAACACACAGATCTACTGCTACCGAAAGGTGCTAAAAGTGCACAATGTCTAAAATTTAACATGCGAATGAAAGAAGGCTGACCGCTTGAGAGACAAATTTTTTGATGACCAGAATCAAATAAGAAGAGGCTTGACATTAGTTTATCCATCAACAAATAAGAGTAGAGAATTTCACTGTGGATACCTTTGCAGCGACACCAGAGGGACTCGAACCAGTTACTTGCAGTTTGCATCCTTTGAAAAGTCCCATCTGAGCTCCATCCGAAGTCCGTGCTGCTATAGGCTCCTGCTTCGTTTTCCTGCATAAGCCTCTGGATTCATAGTTCAATGCACGGAGGATAGCGCCATTTGCTCAGTGGGGTCAGCAAATACATGACGTACTACTGAGTTAGGGTCACCATCCCATTACTTGGGTCTTGGCAGCATAAATGCCAAAACCCCTCCTTGCTTCTTCACTGGGAGGGAGGTGAGAAGTCTATCTTCTATCTGTCCTTTCTCTTTTCCTGCATTCAGAAAATGCCACGCCATTGTTCCCTTGGTCGTACGTAAGAGGCCTTGTTCTTTACGTCATCCTCCTAAGACCAAGGCTGCAAGTTTACTGCACAAAGGAAAGGAAGTGGCTGACAGACGGGCACACCCACACACACACGCATACACACACACACACACACACACACACACATGCACGCACACACACGCACACAAACAGACACACACACACACACACTGGTGCAAACAGTGCCTGCCACAGAGGAAACTTCCTGCTCCTGCGAAAGATCCGTTTTGCAGTACAGGGTTACTGATCGCTACTGAAATGAAGAAACCCTCTCCTGGAAGTGGACCGGCTCAGGCTGGCACTGCTGACCTTACGGGAGAGACCAGGTGTCGCAGCAGCAGGGGGAGCCTCGTTGGGGCACCCATGCTGCAGCAGGATGTCGGCGCACTCCTGGCTCCCCGCTTGCCGGGCCAAGGTCAGGGCGGTCTGGCCCTGGGAATCCCGTGCTTTCACGTCACTGCCATACTACAGAGAGACGGAGTGGAAAGTGTTTGAGCACCAAAAGAGCCTTTGAATTCAAAGCTGGCTAGCTGAACATGCAATCCTTCGCCTATCATCCAGGGTACTTAATGCGCTCATATAGCCTTCACATGTTTGCATTGTGTAACCGGTCACTGACAGGAAAAACCGACACGCTGAAATGCAGTTGCGATTACATCAATCCCTCAGCAAGCTCACAGATCCGAGACATAAGGGCTCTCACCCAAACCAACAGCTGAGTCATGACCACATCAGCAAGCTGGCAGGCAGCATGGAGGGCGGAGTGAGGCTGGGGGGATGGCAGGGGGGCGTTGATCTCCTCCTTGGTGCTGTGAGCGAGCAGCAGAAGCAGCAGAGGCAGATTGCGCTCTAAGACGGTGGCTAGCAGCCGGGAGGGCATGGCGCCCCCTACAGCCTCCCTGGGAGCAGGCAAAGGGGCGACAAATGCCCGCTGCTCGTACTTGGCTCGGATCCATGACTCCCGCTCCTCTCTAAGGGACACAGAATGGATCAGGGTTCAGGTGACACTGTGCCAGAAAGCTGTTTCTGTGACAACATTCGTTTCTTGGAGGTGTAGCACTGCCTGCTGTCCTTGCGTTAATTTAAGCAAGTATGCACTCTGTTTACCAACTAACCAGACAAGTGGTCCCAAATATGAATATTCTTAAATATTCTTGACTATTTTCAGGACTGTGCAAAAATCAATCCAAGGCAATCAAAGAAAATTCAAAGATATTTAACTGAAGCGCAATAAGTAATAAATGTATATTTGCTCAGAAAAAAAATGCAAAGTTTAACATTAAAACATATGCAAATTAATAGAAACAATAAAAACAAAAAAGAATGTCTTCTATTCTCCATAACTGATATTTAGTTGAATAGCTATATGAACACCGCTTCAGTTCCCAAACCTCTCTTCAGGGGCCACTCAGTCATTCCATGTATCCACTAAATTTGACCACAAGCTCAATTAACTAATCAATTTACTCAGTTAAATGACTTGATGAGGTATTATTGATTAGACAAACATGGTAGACTTCTGCACAGTTTTGTATGTACTAACACCCAGGTTGTTAAAGCCCAGATGTTCACATTTGATCAACTGCCACCTCCTTATGACCACAGAGGCCTCACCGTGTCGACTCAGGGATGGGCTTCTGGCGCCCCTGTGTACAGCCCTCCCACACGCCGTTGGCCACGTGGTTGCCGATGGCGGCAAGCACACACGTCAGCTCGCGTGGCCAGTCGTCCAGGTCGAGGGAGCGCACACGCGACAGGTGTGTACCCAGGTTGCGGTGGATGCCTGAGCACTCGATGCAGATCAGTGCCCCCAGGTTCAGGCTAGCCCACGTTGGATCTGAGACAAAGTTCGGGGAAAGAGTACAGTTGATCGATAACGCCATAACAACTTGGGAGCAAGGATTACAGCGTGAGGGAGTTGTGAAACTCACGGGGAGCATCACAGTCCACGCAGAAACCATTGCCTTTGGCATTCCGGATGGCCTGTAAAGCTACTGCTTCACTCTGGCTGTTCTTTCTCGCCTGCCAAGAGAAGAAGTGAAACCAGATTTAACCAAGATGCAGTCAACATCCCTCTGCCACACCTCCCCAATGCCTCACCCTCCTGAGCTGCTGCAGAGCCCCAAGAGGACCTGGGACGTACCTTGTTCTTGCCGCTCTCGCAGGATTGCAGACTTGCCAGGATCTGGCTGTTGATAGCTTGGACCCAAGAGTCACGCGCTTCTAAACTCTGCGCCTCAAAAGTCCATGTCTGTCCCGTGCTTGAGACTATGATGAAGTCGAAATTCTCCTCATCTAAAAATGAAACATACAGAGGCTGTCAGTGACTGAGCACCCCATAAACAGATCCACAAACACATACCTGCATGCACTCGCACACATACATCTATTTCTATGAGAAGGGGGCACTTCACAAGGAGATGTGCAGAGGGAACACTGACAAGCAGTGGCAACATTCTGCAAAAGCTATGCTGGTTACAGTCAAAAAGTAATTCTGGTTTTTAGGTTTAGGAGATCTTACAGATGTGGACTTCAGAGGGGCTAATGATCACAAGCATGGTGTCATGCAAGGAGTTCCCGCACCCCCTCCCCCAGTCGCTGGTTACCTGCTCTGCTAACGTTTCTCAAGCTACCAAAGCTTTTGAGTTTCCACATTTTGCGCTTGGCTATGGAGTGACAGGTTAGCCAAGTGTCCCAGGAAAGCAGAAGTGCAACAGAGGAAACAAGGGAGAAGCCATCAAAGTGGGGAGGAAAAAAGGACAGAAAGGACACCCCCACCACAAAGCATAACCTTTATTTTCTTTGCCATGTTCTGCAGCTGAATCTTCTTTTTCACCCTCACTTGATGTGACACTAACTGGATTTCTACACAGACTGACCCATCCAGAGCTTTTTCAGCCTGCTTCCTGTGCGGATGCTCACCCTCAGCTTGGCCAGCTGCCACATCCCCTTTCTGGTTCATGCTCTTTTTCCTCCTTTCTCCCTTCTTCTTCTTGTCACTCAGGTTCGGGGAGGCAGGTATCGTGTCTTTAGCAGAGGGAGGGCTACTCATCCCCTCGGAGGCCGAGTCTGTGACACCGATGGAGAAATAAATGTTAGGAGGCCTGTGTCTGATGTGACACTGCTCACTTTCTTCTGAGTTTGTGCCATAAGGGACAAAACAATTATTAAAACCCCAATCACCTGACTCTCCAAAATGGATGTAAGACCTCCCTCCCTCCCTCCCTCCCCCCCACACAGAGACATACCCATACTCTGTCCTTTGTTGGACAGAGAAGATGGGCATCGTTGGACCCCCGGTGAGGAAAATGACCGCTCTGCTCCTGCCCCCTCTTCTACCGTCAAAAGGCCGCTTGGAAACTGAGGACCTGTAAAAGGACACAAAAATATTCCATAGTCCTGCAGGGAAGGCACAATCCACTGCATTTTGCACCCAAATAATGCAAAACTGACCAACTGCTCTGCTGGTCCAGGAGAGTGGCTCACCTGCACTGGCCCCATCGGGGCTGGACACCACACCATTGAGGCCGGATGCAGGGCTGCCAGCCGGCACTGCTCGAGGGGGCCGCTTGCCGGGAACCTTCACTGTCACTCGCAACAAGTCAATCTCCTTGCCGTGGATGTTCTGCATATAGTCCTGTAAGGTCAGGAGTCAAAGTCACACCTAAGGATGTTTGTTCAGTATATAGTGGCATACTGGAAAAATGTTATGTTATTAGTAGAAGAAGGTTGATCATGCCAGTTAGTTATAAACAAATTCCCACAAATAATACATAGAAATTTCAGAGTAACAGGACACTAATCATGTGACTTACATTGATACTGGAATGGTAGGACAAAATGCCCTTGCTGGACAGTGTGACCAATTTCTTCTTCCAGTCCTTGTTCAGTGTGTTGCCACTGCGCTTCAATAATATGCCCTGCAGGGATGGGGAAAGGGGTACAGTAAAATTGGGAAGCAGGGAGAGGCACGGAGAAAAGGGGGAAGCAGGGAGAGGCACGGAGAAAAGGGGGAAGCAGGGAGAGGCACGGAGAAAAGGGGGAAGCAGGGAGAGGCACAGGGAAAAGGGGAAAGCAGATAGAGGCACAGGGAAAAGGGGGAAGCAGGGAGAGGCACAGGGAAAAGGGGGAAGCAGGTAGACGCACAGGCAAAAGGGGGAAGCAGGGAGAGGCACAGGGAAAAGGGGAAAGCAGATAGAGGCACAGGCAAAAGGGGGAAGCAGGGAGAGGCACAGGGAAAAGGGGAAGCATGGAGAGGCACAGGAAAAAGGGGAAGCATGGAGAGGCACAGGAAAAAGGGGAAGCATGGAGAGGCATGGGGAAACAGACAAGAATGTGAGGCACAATGCAGACCATCAGCAGTGAGCAACAGGTTATAAGGCCTTTCAGACCATCCCACAGTGGTGCTAACCTGTTTAACTGGGATTGACCGGCCACTCCCCACATCGCCCCTGCTTTCAGCACTCTTCTTTTCTGCATCACTGCTGTGCTGTGAGACATCAAGAAAGCAAGAACGGTGGCAACAAAATGAGATTAGCAAGTGAGACTAAACAGTAAGGCAGAAACATTACCGTTGAACACAATTCAGTCGGGGGGTTTAAATACCGACAATCATATTCCTAGTAAATGGAATAAACAGAACAGACTCGGGGGGCATAGAGACAGACTAAAATTATGTGGTGTAAGACCAACTGACTGGGAAGCGGCGACGCCGAGGAGTGCTGCCCTGTGTCCCCGGGGGGGCACTCCCCCCACCGTCCGCTGGGACCATGCTACGTAGGTCCTTACGGCTGCCGACGGGGGTGGAGGGCAAGGAGGAGGAGTAATCACTGCTCTGACCTCCATTACTGGCCTGTAGGAGGAGTGGAGGTTGGGGGGAGGCAGGAAGAGTAGGGAGTGGAAGGGAAAGGAGTAAGGGGGTGGGACAAGGGAGGTACAAGGAGTAAAACACATAAAAATAATGCAAAAGTAAATAGCACTTTAATAAACACAGCTGGCCAAATCACATCTAATTTCTGTGCCACGACAACACAGGTTTTTTCCTGTCATTTAGTGCCTAGGGATTATGGGTAAACAGGAGGTTTATTTCAGGGGACTGTTACCTGTCCTGGAAAGGCACCAGACACCGGAGTCGAGTCCCCTGAGTGACTGGGGGTGTTAGGCAGTGATCTGCAGGCGGCTTGTAAAGAGGCCTGTCTTTTTATGGCTGCTATCTTCTGGGCAGCTGTGAGGGAGCAGACGGACAGCAAGTCAGCAGGGACAAACTTAGTTACAGGAAAGCAAAATCAATCTGCCTCTTTTCAGTATTTCCACTTGTATCACTTTACCATAATTCCATCAGCAATTCCAAAGATCTTGTTGCATAAAACAAGTTCACAACTAGGGAATTATTTACAAATGAGTTTACAAATGAGGTGACTCAGAATTCACAGCTGTGCACTGGCACTGTGCATAAGGTGCATCACATTCATTTAGCAGATGCTTCTTTTGAGAGAGAGATAGCAATGGGGGTTAAGGGCCTTCCTCAAGGGCCCAATGAAGAAGTCATTCCACTAACCCCAGGTTTTGAACTGATGACCTGCTGATCACTGGCACAGCATCCTGACCTGCTGAGTCACACACTCCCCCCAAGAGCTCAAGAGTTAAGCTAAGTTAGAGTGAACAAAAGGAAAAGCCCGTCACCCTCAGTGAAGACGCGGTTGACGTTAAGCCCGTAGGTGGCGCATGTCTCGTAGTACGTGCAGCGGCGCAGGTCAGAGCAGAGCTGGCGGGCTCTCGCATCCTCGATCACCCGTGGGTTGGAGCTGCTGATCTTGTCTGGGTGGGGTGAGGGGGGGTGGTTAGATCACACCTCACATTACACGTCTCCCACCTATTTCCCTTTTTAAAGCTGAAAACCAAGTGAGGTTATTCTCTCAGCATGAGTGACGTTATCAAAGGGAAAGTATTTAAATCGCAGTTTAGAAAGGAATGCTATATTTATATTGGTTATTCAGGGTTTCCATGTCGTTCATAGGATATACACCTCATAGTATGGGTACTAGGTTAAAACGTTTCTTGATTTCTTCTTAGTAAAATACCTTATACATACAATGAAGCCTGAACTGGTCTGTTAATGAGCATAGAATCCCACAATTTACTATGGCTCTTACCCTGCGTTGCAACCACAATCAACGGGATCTCCACTATATTGCGATGGGTGTTCAGCTGGCTGTAGTTCCGATAAACCTCCTGGAAACTGTTCTCGTTCTCCAGGCTGAACACCAGGATGACTCCATCCACCCAGCTGCAGAACTGCAGGTCCGGGTGGGGAACAAGGGAGGAGAGGAGGAGATCAAGCACCACGGAGATGTGTGAGATGCCACCACTGGCCTATCTAAAATCGAGCTGGAGCACAGGTGCGCCGAGGGACACACCTGTGCGTCGGGTGGTCCCGCCTCCTCCCTGATCAGCAGCAGCTGGCTCTGCCCCTCAACCAGGACCTCCTTCTTATACCGTCCCCCTGTCAAGTGAACAGAAGGGTTATCAGTGTGGGGCTACCCCTGGGCGGGGCCTGTCAGGGTCTGAACTGCCCCTGGGTGGGGCCTGTTGGGACCTGGGCAGGGCCTGTCAGGGCCTGGGTGGGAGGCTGGGCTGCCCCTGGGTGGGGCCTGTCGGGGCCTGGGCTGCCCCTGGGCGGGGCCTGTCAGAGGCTGGGTGGAGCCTGTTGTGGCCTGGGTGGGGCCTGTCGGGGCCTGGGCTGCCCCTGGGCGGGGCCTGTCAGGGGCTGGGTGGAGCCTGTTGGGGCCTGGGTGGGGCCTGGGCTGCCCCTGGGCGGGGCCTGGCCAGGTACGTACCATCCGGGGATTCCACAGCCAGATAGGAGCCCGTCATGTACCAGTGCACCAGCGCTGACTTCCCACTGCGCAGACTGCCAAGCACCCCCTGCATGGACGTAGACTCATGAGTCCGGCCCCCCTGGCACAAGGGAGGGGGACGAGAGGACACACCCCACAGGCAAAGCCTCCATGCTCCTCCCAATACATTTAATTAGCTTTGAAACTGTTCTTACTCATTTTTGTGAAATAACAAAATTATCCGCAAGCTTAATTTATGTACATGGGGAGAGGGAGGGGGGGACACTGTCACATAGTCACACTAAATTATACACTTATTGTGCAGCCTGCAAATTAGCTCATCTGCTACTAAATTCAATTACACTCAGTTGCATGTATTTATATATAGTTGCTTTTCCTGTGTGGTTGCCCCAAACACTGGCACTTACTGTACTGACACACACCAGTTTAACGTGCCAACTGAAAGGGCAATGGATGGGTACTGGATGGATGGCTGACACTGCACTTTGGACCCCAAGCTTCGCTATCATGAGTGTGTCTTTAAAACCGGAGACCAACATGGGATACAGTATGTGAAAACTAACACATTCTCCATTCTCATGTTTGTGCAAATCGCAAATAAAGTTCAACCTCATTTAATTTCAAAGCAAAGGCTAAATATGAAAGGAGAGGAAATAAAACTCCATAGTGTCAAAGGAGAGAAAAGCTCTGTGGGGTCCCAGGCCACCCCTCCATCCAGCCCCCTGTGGGACCGCTATCAATAAACAGGGCAGAAAGCGGCAGGTCTTTTTGCGTAGCTCTGCCTTCTGTCACGCCGTCTGTGGGTCTCTCTTTTTCACATGAAGCCGACGGGGACGACGGGGCCGCCGCTCACCAAACGAAGCTCTTGGACGGAGCGGCTCAGGGTCCATTCCTGACTGTTGGTGCAAGCCGCTGGAAAAAGGACAGGCAGTCAGTGAGGGAGGCCTGAGAGAGCCGCAAGGGAGGAGCGTTCATTACTCTGAGGAGAACATCACCTTCTGCATTTACACAACACGTGCTTCTACAAACCATTTTAGAGAAGTCTGAAATGCAAAAATGAAATTTATAATTGTATGCTTTAGATTAGTGTGGAAAATAATATTTATATATTTACACATAAAAATATGTTTCCATGTATCCATCCATCAAACCATCCATCCATCCATCCATCAAGTGGCAGCCACTCAATGTTTACTGAGTGTCACTAATAAAATAGCGCAAGCTAACAGCAAAAAGTTGTCTTAACCTGGGCACTGCCCGTACATGTGTACACACACAGATTACAGTCCAGTCCATCACAGGACACACTCAAAAGCCATTTCGATAACTTTTTGGGGGGGGGGAGTAGACATGAGGAGAACATGCTACCTCTGTACACGCTACCTCCATACATGCTACCTCCGTACACGCTACCTCCATACATGCTACCTCCATACATGCTACCTCCATACATGCTACCTCCGTACATGCTATCTCCGTACATGCTACCTCCGGGGCACAGGAGTCAAAGCCACAGCCCTGAGGATGTGAGACATCGTGCTGCCCACGTGCTGCCCTAAGCGTACATGCAGAAATGCCAGCCTAAGCACAACAGGAAGGTCTGCAGTTCGGAATTCCATCAGACAGAAGGTCACATAGCTAGAGAAAGGTATTCAACAGCCACCTGCTAACAGCTAATTACAAATGCGAGCCCACAGACACAGCTGGCCCTTATGGCAGGAAAAAAAAAACAAAAACAAAAGTCTTTCAAAGTCACGGTGTGTTTATGGGTACTTTTCTCCCGTGCAGAATGGCGCTTGGCTTTGGCAGTGACGTGAATCGCCCCATATGGGTCCTCTCACAGGCCCAGATGGCTCTCAGCAGGGGCCCAAGGAGAAGCGGGGGGGAAGGTAAACGACAGCGGAGGAAGAGGAGGGCCGAGGAGGCGCAGATTAATTGCACGGACTCTGTGGGGCAGCAGCCGCGAGACCCAGGTTCATTAGCAGCTCTGTGCCTGGACTATGGGGCACCGTGGCACGGTTTGGCCCCCGTGATCGTACACGTACAGCAGTGCGAGAAAATGGGCAGGAAAAAAAATGCACAGGGAGCACTGCAGTTTCTGTCCGGACGTTTACATCCTGCACAGCTGACGGCTGGGGAAGTTCACCTGAACCGTGTCGACCTCCCTCTACAACAGCCTGTCCCGTGCCGGCAAGATGCAGGGAAGTGACCTGACGCCGGGCGGAGCTGCTCTTTGCTGTCACGTGCGGGATCACAACATGGGAGACACATCCACAGGTGCCGGCGGCCTCTTGCGCAGCATCTGGCCTTTTAGATGCCACTCACAGCCTAATCCCCATTAGCCCAGGGGTCTGGATACTGACGAAGATGCAAAATTAACTTATATACCACATTCACAGAAAAACAGGTTCATGTAGCTAAACCACAGCCGCTGTCTCACAGGATCCCTGCGTCAGAGGTTGTTGCGAAACAACAGGCACATATACATCATTTCCCTTACTGTAGAGGTATTCAAACTGTGGTGCGCAAATAAATTTTGGGGGGGGGGGGCAGGGGCAGGTTAGGAGAAAAAAAACAGAGAACTGGGTGGGGTTTGAGGTAGGGGCAGCTCTATTTCGAAATTATAACCGTCAGAAATATAAAAGATTTGAGCTCATTATACACATTATATGATGCTAAAAAATAAAAAGTAATGGCACCAAGTCAGTGTGTGTATGTCTGTTGGGGGGGCGAGATCAGCACAAATACATCAGTCCTGGGGGGGTCCTATCAAAAAAAATACTACTGCCTTACATCCATACAGTTGCAGATGAATGTAAACTGTACCCAGAGGACTAATGTGAAGCTACATTCAATGGGGGGGGGGGGGGCTTAACCAGCCTGCTCAGCCGAGATCCTTCAAACAGGTTGTGTAGTACACAGGAGGAAAGAGAGTAGGTGGGGGGTGGGTTGGGGAGGGGGTAGCCAGATCCACCCCAAGCGTGATCTCTGCCACCTCAATGTTCCCCCCCTTATTTAATGTGACACCTTTTATCCAGAATGACAAACACATAGATCCATTATTACTGACAGCTGCCTTTAAGGACACTACACTACAGTACAGTACAGCAGGCATGTCTGTGTGATTAGAAAGCTGCTTCCAAAACACACCGGCTTGACCCTTAGATACGGTGATAATGGCAGGTCAGCTTGCAGACACGGAGGCTCTCATCTCCGTAACATTAATAGATCCTTCTTCCCTTGGTCTCAGGGGACAGGAATTTCGATTCCTTTACGCTCCCCCCACCCCCCACCATCCCGTCCGTTCCCGTCTCTCTCTCTCTCTCTTTCTCTTTTTTTTTCAGCTTCACACTACCATCCAACAGGCATCTCTTGCAACCCTGTTGCCATGACAACACTTCCTCCGGCAAGCTTCTCGCACGTCCAGAAGACGAGCGTGTGGAAGGTAGAGCCCGTGCAGACAGCCAATTGACGTGCTCGCACGAGAAAGGGAAATACATGTCACATAATGTGTGTGTGTGTGTGTGTGTGTGTGTG